ATCACAAGGGAAAATGAGGGGGGGGAAAACCCCTTACAATTATAAAATCAGTGCAAAAACTGAAACTCTTCCGCATTTCCCCAAGCATAGCCATGGATTATTTAGGCTGCAAGAGCAGGATGATCGTGTGTCCTTCACACTTACATCATAAGGGTTTAACAGCAATGGTGGTCCCCATGCTTAATAATATCCTGCTCCACATGTATGTCCAAACACACAATCTGTTTAAATCTAACAGCAATAAATAAATAAAAAATACTAATACAGGTGCAGACAGTGTGCAGACATCAGCAGTGTGCTGGACAACAAAGGAATAGTCATTTGGGCCGTGATGACAAATATTTGATCAGATTTATCAAAGAAGTTGATGGTTTGATGAGATCAAATCAAATCAATCTGCCCATGTACACGTAGATGTGTTTATATACACAGAAACCACTCACAGCTTTTCTTTATATATTCAAAACAACGACTGTAAGGGGGGTTAATATTTGTTTTTATGCAGACATCCTCAGACCCCTCTTGTTTGTAAATAGTAGCTGTCCTCTGGCAGGGAGGTGATGGTGGAAATGCACGAGGAGTGGCTTTTCCCGCTCCCTCTCCCGCAATCCCACAGATCCTGCTCCTCAGGACCAGGAAGGCTGTTACAAGCTGCTGAAGGGGAGTCACCAAGCCCTGCTCTGACGGGGGGATCTCATGTGTTCGCTGCTGATTAGACTACATTATTTCTATTATCCTATTGGGCTTCACACCAGGAATAGAGGCACTTGCCCTTATTTGAAACCAGCAGACACCAGGAGAATTTGCTGATTGCTAATGAGAAAGCGAAGGTTTTGTTGATATCATCTGGGACGTTCTTGCTGTGGTCTGCTATTAAGATCTGGAGCTCTACATAACACACCATATTAAGCAGGCAGTGACTTTATTATGGGATCAGTATAACTTTTCATGTCTGGTGTACTCCTAAAGCCTAGGCTAAAACACCTTTTTCCAGAATATGAAACCTAATATCTTGGTGCTAGCTGCATTATTTAAAAAGGGGCAATGTGGTTCATAACTTTACATTTATTGCATACTTTTAAGCCACTTGACCCATATAAATATTACTATAGAGTTGCCCTCAGTTATTAAATTCTTATTGCTTATAAAAGGGGCAGCAGGAAGTATATAATCTATAGAATAAGGTGTGTTTTTTTTAAGGGGGAGGGGGAAGAATAAAAAAAGGAGCAAGGCTGGAAACAAATGTGTTTTGATCCTGTCCATAGCCTTGAAGTTAAAACTTTTTTCCCCGAGCTTAAAGCAAAAGTCTGTTTATTTAAGCGTCAAGAATTAGGCACTGGCATAGCAAGTCGGTCCCTACCTCCTTGAAGTCGAAGTGGAAACCCCACCTCTTAAAAGAAATCATTTGCAGAAAGTTTCCAGCATTTATTGCAGCCACGGCCAGGTGAAAACAGGACAGGAGCATTTGCTGGAGCCCCTGGGTTGCACACTCGCCCCTCGGACTCTTTGCACGCTCACACACGTGCGCCTGGATGACAGCGAGGACAACACATTAACATAGGTAATTTTACTTCAGAGTTGCTTGGGGCAGAACCTCTAGACCTAGAGGTTACTGCTGTCAAAGTAGGACCTTTTTCTTCCTGTCACTTCTTTCAGAGATGAAGGGAAAGATTTCCCTTAGCCTACAGCATTTAGCGTGCAAACGCTCCACCACAACATTTTGAAACTATAGAAATCATGAAACCAGCCTGTGACCTTCCATTTCAGTGACAGTACAGGAATCCCTTGAGCAGCGGAGGCATCCTCTGATATTTGGAAAAGTGTCATGTTTTCTTTACAGAGAAAACTGTCATATTGTTGTTGGCATAAAATACAACACTTCCTGGAGTTGTGATTTCCTTGTTTGCTACAAAATGTCACCTGGGCAACTGACATGTTTTTGTTTTGCTTAGAGCAACTTCCCACTTATGATATTCAAATCGAGTTGATATTGATACCTTAAGCTGTGCTGAAAGGAGCAGCAATTACAGACATCTGAAATTCCTCCAGAAAAAGGCAGTTTAGCTAAAAGACAGGGACCCTCCCGACAATGGCAATCGGGCTGCAAGTTAAACACAGCCCTTATATAATTTGCAGCCTATTGATGTGCCAGGCAGTAATTCTCCAGCAGGAAAAAGTCTCTGGAAGAAGCAGGCACAGATAAATGAGACGCTTCCCCAAAATAAGCAAGTGTTCACTTGAAAAAAAAAAAAAAATAAAAGAAAGGATTAAAAAAAAAAAAGGGAAAACAAAATGCTCAGCCTGAAGCAATAAGTAGAGCTGACTAGAAAAGTATGGGGTTTTTAAATCATCCCTGTGCTCACATCTTACAGCACAAAAGGATTTTAATCTCAACTAGCAGAGCCTTATTCCAGCATTGCTTTTTTGGGGGAAAACTTTAACCTTTGGGTCAGTAGGACTGCTTGGCTCTAAATACCCGAGTTCTTTTTTGACAGGAAAGAAATTGAGAGCAGTTATATTTTTATTTCTGAATATATAAATTTTTAATTCATAATTCTGAATAGGACAAGAAGCAACTTTCCCTGAAATTCAGGGTGCTGAGAGGTGTCACTTATTTTGCAGAGAAGAAAATCATATTTATATTTAAAAAAACTCCAAACAGTTTCAAACCAAGAAAAAATTAACTTTTTAATTACACGACACTGCCATAGTTAGGAAAGTTAAATTAGCAGCTGAAATCATGCAATCTGAAGCAGCAAATGATCTTCAAAGTGTATTTCACAAAAGGAGCAGAATGGGTGCTGGAATATTTGAAAATATTTAAAATTTTCTCTGAGGTTTCTTTGCTAAAGATGGAAAATCAAGAAAAAAATGTTCATCTTTGATGTGGGCAGAGGAAAGAGAGCTGAGTTTATTGCTTTCCAGTAAGTAGTTAATGATACCAGTTTTGATGTGTGGGTGTAAAATATAAACAAACTTAAGTACACACATGAATATCTGCATGTCTAGATATGTTTATCTCTAAGTATTACAGAGATTTTCTCTGTATGAGCTCTGAGTGAAGCTACACAGATGCAACAACAGAATAATTACTTCTCAACAGAAACAAAAAAAAAATCCTTTTTGAGGCAAAAAAGAGCCTATTGTGTTTGAAGTTGTAAGAGGAAAAAAAAAAGCCTCCTAAAATGATATCTATTTAGCTTCATTTAGGAACTCTGCCTTTTAAATGAACAAGCAAATTTTTCACAGATTCGCACGTTTTGTAAAATATGTCAAACAAACTAAAGAGAAGGTCTCCTAATTACTCATCAAACAGCCTGCAGTCAGCAGGGAATGCAGCCCGAGTGATATGTTGCACTAATGTTAGGGCAGCCCCGAAATATTTCCTCTTGGAAAACAACAACAACAGCGGCAGCGGCGGCGGCAGCACCCGCGGGCCCGATCCTGCCAGGACTGTGCCTGTGCCAGGCTCTGAGCACATGGAGCAGCCCAGGAGCTCCCACACATCACCCACCTCACACAGCTTTGTGCATGTTAAGCCCATGGTGTTTAATAGCCAAGTGACGAGCAAAGTTTTGTGTTTGCGCTGTCTTTTTTTTTTCCTTCCATTTCTTTCTTTCATTTATTAAATATCTACCATGGAAAGCTAATTAGAAAATATGCAGAACTGCTTCCTGTTAAAACATGGAATTATATTAGAGACCGTTTGGTAGGAACAAGAGAAAAGTCCCTGTTAGGCATATTAATGACTGGCCCTTTTAACAAAGCTGCTCCCTGCTCTCGCCGTTGGAATTCATTTGAAAATAAGAATTCTGTGGAATTAGTGGCCTTCCTTTCACAGGCAGGACCATGTTATCTGATATTATATATATACAGATTTTGCTGGCACGGTAATCAGAGTGAAATTCCTTATTCCTGCATAATTGCTATAACGCAGGGCCCTCTTATCCTGCTCTCCCTCTTCAGCCAAAACTCTGAGTCACTTGAAACAGGGATTTTTTTCTAGGCATCAGCTCTGGCACAGAGCTTATGGTTTATAACTCTTCATGTCTCCCCTAAAGGGAGCAAGAGTTGTTTGGCATCTCCCCAGCAGAAGACATTTTTAAAGGTATATTTAAGATGTGTGTGTATGTCCCAGCGTTAAGGGTGAGGGTTTGTGAAAATCCACAGCCTAAACTGGTCTGACTCTCATCGACTCTCAGCCTCATTCCTCGGGCTGTGAGTAAATTTAGAGAGCTCCAATTGCCAATCTGGAGTAATTTACACTGAATAATTAATCTGATGTGCACCCCAGTAGCAGCAAACAGAGTCAGGTTGATATTTTCACTGAATCCAAGAGCAGGATCAGACTCACAACAGCTACTTTCTTCTGATTTATTCCGTAATTCATATTTTCAACAATATGCAATCCATTAGCAGGACAGAAAAACATACACCAACTACTTGAGTGGACTCAGGATTCTTGGGTTGCTCACTGACAGATGGCTTGTTTTGTGATTTTTCTTTTTTATTTTCCCCCCACAATTTGCTTTCAGTTATATTGGAAATGGTTTACTACTTCCATAGGATTTTTAAGATAAGTAGAAAGATTATTGGTCACGCTCTTTGAAATTCATCATGAAGCTGGGCTGGCTTTGGCTGCAGCTTGTTATTTGTTGCATCTCTCTAAAGTGGAATATGTTCAGGACACGCTCCCTTCAAAGGTTTGCAGAGAGGAAAACAGTCTCAGCAGAATCTGCCTTTGCATCAGCTCCTGGAGGGTCCTTAAATAACTTCTCTCCAACGTGGCAATATTTCAATATCTGCTAAGAGATCCTTGTTAACAGGAGGGACCCCGGATCTCATAACTGGGTTTTTATTACAAATCCCAGGGATGTTTGCTCTATAGATACAAAAGAAAACTTCTGCTCTCTTGACTTTTTTTAAGGTAAATGTTTCAGGGGTTGTGTTTTTTAAACTATGTATATTTGGTAAATGCAATTCCCTGCCTTCTCCTAGCAGAACTTTATTTTCTTCCTTTATAGTAATATATAGATCTGAAATTCCAAAGGTTTCTGGTGCTTTTCAGCTGTCACCTCGAGTCAAAATCACAGAGTTCAGCTATAAAAAAAATTGTATATAATAAATTTAACTTGACCTAACTGAAGGTTTTTAAAGTGAACAGGTATTTTTGACATTAAAAAAAATATTAATATGACTGTATTACCTATATATCTCCTCACTTCTATTCATGCCACAAAAACCCCACACTCTTGTCCAAAATGTGGCCTGAAGTTCAGTCAGTGACAGACGGTGCTTCGGAGAACACACTTTGCTAAAATGCAAAAGATACTTTGCAATGTTTCAGGCCATAAACTGAAACCACGTAATGTGATATCCAATCCCAACTATCCATAGGTATTGTTGGAGTGTGGAGGGACCCCCTGTTTTACCAGCATCCCACACAGTCCTGTCTGAGCCCAGCACAACCCTTCAGCCCACGGTGTTGATCGGTCCCTACTTAGCGCTTACGGGGTGATTTTACCCACCCAACTAAACTTTCATACTCTAGTTCAAATTTAATCAATTTTTTGTTTTGCAGCCTTTTGTAGATTGAGTCTTTTGTTAAGAAAGGACGTCTTGTTTCCCAAACACGCCAGAAGGAATCGCTGGCATCAGAGTGCCACCAAAAGGCAGGAGAAGAAATCGGCAGCCAGGCACTGACCTTTGCAGAGACAGCTAAGGTTATGCACATAACATTTGCTTGTTTACTTTGCAAAATAAGCAATGAGTTGGAAATTCCGAGCTTAGCAAACGTCTTGCTACACCTGGAAAGCAACACTGACAACAACAGCAAAACCCCACGGTTGTTCTTGGGTTTGCTGTTGTTGTGGATGGAAGCCGTTGCCGGCTCCGCTCTGTATCTATCATGATGCAACTTTAATAACGTTAGCCAAGACCGCTCAGAAAATCACAGTTGTAGCTGGAGGCAAAAGGGAAAAAAAAAAAAAAAGAAAAAAAATGGAAAAAAAAAGAAAAAAAGAAGAAAAGAAAGAAAGAGGGGGAGAAAAAAAAAAAGCTAAAATGAGGTGCTTCTCCCAAGCCTCACCTAGTGAGCTGAGTATTGGCTTATGCGTGAGAATAAGCAAACGAATCGATCGCTGCAGTAGGTTGATGGCTACTGGTCGTTTTGATGGATATGACGGTAAAAAAAAAGTCCAGATTGGTTCACAGTGGACCTCAAACCATGTCAGCTAAAACCAAAGAGACAAAAAAGTGACAGCTGCGGAGAGTACACTGCAGGCAGTCAATGGTTCCTGTGATTTATTGTTCCATCTGCCTTGCCGCTGTGAGGACAAGTTCCCCCTGATTTGGTTAAAATGAAAAGGACCTCAGAGAGCACAACGTGTTTTTTGAAAATGTGCAGAAACTATTTTTTTATTTCGTGATTTATGTGCCTTTCCCCCTCCATAATGTTTGCACCAATTGTTACCCAATAATGCTTACTGAAAAATGTGAAGCTTCCCAACCACTAAGAAATCCTCCAGACCACCCCCACCCCTCCACCCCAGCACAAAAAGAGAGGGGAAAAATTGAAACAAGGAAAAAAAAACCTGGGGAAAAAAAAAAGGCAACAAAAAACCTGCATAAATAACCCACGCTGTCAAAGCCAAACCAGAAAACTAGTTTGTCTATTTTTTAACCTTCCTGCTTTCCAATTAACAGCCGTGTTTCGGAGCCTGCCGGGCTGTGAGGCGGTTAAAAACCGGGCTTGGCAAAGGGTGCTGTGTAACCATTTAATATATTAGAGAGTTCTAACCCCGATTATAAATTTGCCTGAACCACCCAAGTGCTACAGCCACCAGTTCCCTATTAGAGGAGGGTATTGCTGGAGTGGAGGGGACAGAGAGGACAGAGCCTTCTCTGGCTTCACACACCAACTTTTTTTGCCGTTTCTGACTTGAAAAGGAACATTTCCTTCATGCAGTTGATGTAGCTTATTACCCCATTAAAGAGAAGCACCACACGACACTTCTGTCAGGGTAACACCGAGGCCTAATCAACACTTGGAGGTGTAACACAACACAAATAATCTCGCTCCTCAGGGAAGCCGGAGTAGCAGCCTGAGAAACGCTCTGGCTTTTCCCCGGGAGAATTCAAGTATGCCATAGCAGAAATATGGTTAATGTTTTAATACATTTATGGAGCATAAATCATAAATGAAGCATTAAGCATCCGGTGCTCCCTCAAAAGTTTTAACAAATACAGGCAAATTGAATGAATCTGGCCAAGCGAGGTATTGATGATTTTCCATGTGTGTCACACAGTGGGAAAAAATGGACGCGGGGCCTCCGAGCCCCGCTGCCTCCTCACACTCCTCGCATACATTATCGTCCCCACTTAACCAGGAACCCACAAGAAGCCAAGGGAAGGCTCTTCCTCTCCCCCTCCAAGAAATGTTTCATGCAGATCAGCAAATTTTCAGCAAATTTCCCATGAAAAGGCGGGCCGGGGCCTGCGGTGCTGGGCCAGGAGCGGGGTCCCCGGCGGCCTGACCCCGGCGGCGGTCGCTTCCTGGCTCCAGGTTTCCTTCGGCCTCACAGGTCCAGCCCGGTGTCAAAAGCTGGCCTTGTCTCCTGTCTCAGGATGTTGGTTTTACCTCTCAAGTGTTTCCTGAATTTGCAAAAATTCTTGGGGTTTTGTTTTTTGTTGGGTTTTTGGTTCTTTTTTTTTTCTGGCGGCTGCCTTGCATGTTCAAAAGCACATTTACCTTTGCCAGGGAGGGAGAATAAAGTATTAAAACAGGAAAAAAAAGAAGAAAAGAAAAAAGAAAATTAAAAGAAAAGCAAGAGAAAACAAGAAGGAAAGAAAGAGAGAGAGAAAGAAAAAAATTTCTTAGTCGCTACTGTTGAGCAGGGGGTTTTCTCCTGGGACCAGTTCTACTTTTGGAACATGTTATTGTCAGGCAGAGGTCAACATCTTTTACCTCTTTTTTCCATTATTCAAAATAAGTATTGATGTTATGTTTTAGCTATTTAAAAGCCAGCTGCCTTGCTCATTTCAGATATTTTTCCTGGTATTATTGTATGTGGTAATAGCTGGCCTGTGTATCGTCTTTCACAAAATCTAGCCTTTCAGGGTCTCAGTCTTCAAATGATATCAATCAAAATTTATGCAATTCAAAATCCATATGTATAGAGTCCCAGTTCACCTCATTTAATGATAATAGTAAACCACATGTTGTGTACATGTCTGAAACACTTTTCTAGTTCTTGACTGTATTAACCCTAGGGGCACTATGTTTTTGTACAGCTTGCCCAACTGAGCAGCATAATATATTGATTAATACTTGGCAACAACTGCATTCTTGAATAATAAAACCATGAACAAGGTAAACGTGTACTAATAAAACAAGAAGAGTGTCAATATTATTTGGGGATGTATGTTAATAAAAGACGCTAAAGAACAGGCGAGCCCCCAAACCCACAATTAACAAAGCTTGGTGCCTAAAGCTGCTCCCAGATCCAGCCCCACGTGATGTTGTTACCCCAGAGCCTCCTCACCTACCTGGGCATCCGTGAGGCGGCCACAACAAATGCTCCATATTTATAGGGACTGCATGCAGCACACAGGAAAAAGTTCGGTGTTTCTGCAAAAGGCAAATTAAAATTAACAATATTTCATCATTACCCCGATTCTTCCCGGGCAGAGCCCAGTGCAGGTACCACCGGCAAAGTCTGGGAACAGGCACTGACTTTACAATAGAATTTGTTTCTTCCAGGCTGCATTATTTACTTAAGCTTTAATATACAGTTCGAAATAAGATTTGCTTTCATGGAAAAACACTAAAACATTTGGCAAAGGAAGAGCCGAATGTTTCCCTTAATTTGTTTTGGCAACTCTGAAAAATAGATCCCATTACGCTCACGTTTGCATTCCAGAAACATAACAACGAATGATCATTTTACGAAAATCAAGATATAATTAAAAATAGGGTGATATAATAAGCAGTGTGCTAAGGCAGAAGGGTGAGGGGAGACGTGCTGGAAAGCAATGCTTTCCACACTGGGAATGACTGAGGAGGGAAAAAAGCAAAGGACACCAGCTGAAAAGCTATTGCCAGAGCTTATTTATTTATTTTGGGGCTGAGGGAGGGGGGGAAACAGCGGAAGAGGGAAGGGCTTGTAAGTAAAAATTGTTTAGCAAACAGTTAAAATAGTTTCATGCCTTTTTCTTTTTTTAAGGAAAACAATATCTAAACACAGGTTCATATTCATATTTCAGTCATTTGACTTTGGTAGGAAAACAAATAGTGAGGAATTAAACACAATTATGGTTTGATTAACTGGAGCTTGTTCCTAAAACCACAAGGTAGAGCAGCAAGATTGCATCTGTGTCTTCCCTCAATGCCATCCACATGAGTCACAGCGAGGCAGGAAAGCTGTTGACAAATTAATACTTTAAGAAAATAAACTATGGTCATGTTGAACATAGAGCAACTTTATCCTGATTAATTTGTGTTGGAGTGGCTCCAGCCCCCTTTACAAAGCCGCGCAGTTTGTACAAATGTAATTTCCTAATATTTACACGAGGAAAGCCTCAGCCGTTAAGCTTTGCCTCCAGTGTGAGTTTTGTGGTTAGTAAAAAGACAATAAAAATACAGAGAGGTAATTGTAAGCACATTTGGAAAAAGAAAAAAAAAGAAAGAGAGAGAGAGAGAGAGGGGAAAAAAAGAATCCCTGCTTCTCTCCACTCCTCCTCGCAGAGCCCTATAAAAGTGGCAGTGCTGCGGGGCCGCGGTGCCAGGCGGCCCCGGCACAGGGCTCGGGAATGCAACACCTAAGGCTCAACCACGGCTGGAACGGCACCGACCCTCCACCATCCCGACATTCCCGGGGCTGGCTCTCTCTTCCAAACCATCTCTCCATCCCCATTAGCTCATCCCACGCTCTCCATCACTTTATGTCTTTATTTAAATAGAACATACGGCATTCGCACAATTGTCTAATTTAATAAATAAAGGGAGGGGAAATGCAGCTATAAGTGTTGCTTTGTTTGAGGAATATTAAAAATAACCTTTGGTTTTAATGAGATTTTTTCCCCCCCTCCCATCAGTTTACACAATTTTCCAGATGCAAAATGAGCTTTTGGCTGTAAAATATTTTATCACATTGTCTTACACAATAAAGATTAGATGTTTTTGCTCTCTCTCAACTCCACCGCAATTATTTTTTAGTGTTTGCAAATCATAATATCATTTAAAAACCATATTTTATACCTCATCTAAAATACTTTTATAGCAGTGTGATGAAAAAAAAACCCAACACAACATCTATTTAACTACTCTTTTTAAGTGACTGTAATATGCTTTGGTATAATTTCCCAGAAAAAGGCACAGCTAAAAAAGCTTAGCTGTTCTTGAAAACAAATCTCCCAAGAAGCATCTTTGCAAAAAATCCCCAGAATTGAATTCCCCTGGCTGAAGAGCCCAGAGAGCCTGAATATAAAAATAGTAGCCCTGTCATTTCACATTCATTAAGTGTGAAACTCAGAAATTAATAATGTAAAAATATGCTTTTTAATTAGTCTTACATTCTGCCCAATGTACTTAAATGGGATCAGCAGCTCCCTAATGATTTTTTTCTTAATAAAGTATTAGCCTGTGATGCACTGGGGTTGACAGGTATGATAAACTGGAAAGTACTTTTGGAGGCGTATGAATGATACCAAAATAGTACTCTCCCATTTAAATGTAATTAACATCAGGGAGCAATATTACAGGAGGAGAAGCCTGCAAGATTTTTATTTCGGGGTATTTTTTTTTCATTTCTTGTTTTATGAGTAGTTTGATGATTGCAGCAGTGATTTTATAATTTAATTACCTTTGTTGAAAGCTAAGCTTTTGCTAATAGCAGGTCAACAGGATCATAAAGCAGCCTTCAAAAATATTAAAAAAGGAGGTAAATCCCCTTAGCAAACCTACACAATAAGAACCGGGTGCGCATGTGTGGATGCAAAGCATTTTATGGATGTATGGATATACAGACTCCTGTTCCCTTATTATTTGTTTACTATGCTATTTCAAATCAGTATTTTCTCTCTAAAGGGCTCTGTTATACATTAATCATAATAAAATAAAGGAGAAAGAGAGACCAAAAAAAAAAGAGAGAGAAATAAAAAACAGAGAGAGAAATAAAAAAAGAGAGAGAAATTAAAAAAAAAAAA